CTACTTAAGAACAGAATATGTAGTTTTTACATGGAGACACAGTGAAGAAGAATTCTCATGAAACTTTTTCATGAGTGTAAGCAACAGGCACAATACTGTACATTTGTTAAATCAAAGATGAAGGAAGCTTTTATCAAATTAAATTATTTCAATTCCATCTTTTTATTCCTAATAGTCTAAGTCAGTCAGATTCACAGATGCCTTCAGGACTGAATCCAGGAAAGACTATTAGTTGCTTCTAAAATGTAGGGGACACTGGAAAGCAAATTTAAGCCCACTCAAAATCCATGGGAACTTAATAAACAGCAATGATATTTAACTGGCATTTCCAAACTGAGAGGCAGAATCATTGCATCTGTTAGTCTTTAGTCTCATTCCTTCATCATTATTTAGAGCAAGACACTGGATGCAGCAAAAACTTGTCAAATATCACAGAGATCAAAAAGGTGAATTAATTTACTGAAAGGAAAATGTTCCCATTCAGTGATGGAAGTTCATACTTCCACACAGGCCATAAACACACAGCTCATGGATAAAATGCCATAAACACACAGCTCATGGATAAAATACCAAAAAACATCAGCTGGTTGAGAAGACCCTGAGTGCTGGAAGTATTATATCCATGTTATTGATGATGTAAGTGTGCACAGGTTAGACATGGCACTAGAAAGGGATACTGCTGCAAACAGCATCTGTTTGCAGATTTAATTAGAAGTTTAGACAAATTATTGTATGACATTTGCAAGAGTTGTTGAAGATTATAAGAAATACATAAAATTTGCTTCTCCTAAACAGCCCAGATCCAGGGATCTGTTTAGAAACAGATAATAATAATAATCCATATCCACAAACTCTCTGTATTTCTTAGTTAAAAATCTTATTCCATTGGTCAAAAATCATCACTGCCTCTTAAAACATTTTTTTGTTCACTGACTCATCCCTCTCCACAGCTGTAGGCAAGGGTTCAGAATATGGAAACAACCTCTGTAAGTGATATAACCTTGGCTGAATTTTTTCAGAGCCTTAAGAATGGCTGTAGGCACATCACAGGTCTCACTACTGCACTTCTTCTTTCCTAGGAGGGACTTACAGCAGCTACTCTTGGAAAGAAAATAAAAACCGGGACAAATATAAAATAATCTTCTGCCTACAAAGCGGTTCCCTGCAGATGAAGCCAAGCTGAGCAAAATGAACTGGAAACATCAAAGATATGGGATTGCAGTCCCTCAACAACACTTGGGGGTAGAGGGTGGGAGAAGTCACCTTGGCCCCAGGAGCAGCTTTACGCAACATTTCAATCCCAACTGCAACTTTAACACAGGCTTTGACAGGAAAGTTAAATTTTGAATGCAAAGTGGAAAAAGGAGCTTCACACAGGAGCGTGTAAGGACTGTGAGTTCCAATATTAACTGAAGAGAGACGCCTGTGAAAAATTTTAGACAAAAAAAGAAACTGGGACAGTCAACACACATCCTCTTAGACTAGAAAATTTCTACCACAGTACATCTATTGTCAGTTCTCCTGCATTATACTAATTGAAGTTAGGGTAGGACATTCCCAAAACCCAAACGAGTAGGACATTTGAAGGGTAGGACATTCAAACCCAAATGAGAAAAGAGTAAAATATTTCAGAAGTGAAAACTGTACTACCTGCGCAGTCACATTTCTTGCTGAAAACAGAGTAGGAACTTGATCTCTAAGTTTTGCAAAACACAGTGTTTAGAAATTATTTTTAAAATCAAGGTACTCCTAGATTAAAATTGTGACTCTTCCATCCTAAGGCACTAAATTGAGAGGAAAATGATGGTATTTCTTCCGTAACTACTGCCAACAATTTCATTTTCTAAAGGCACTAATTCTGTTTTTAGAACCACACAGAAAATTGCTTTCACATCCCTGGTGAAAACTTTGCCCTACTCAACATGCGTCACCATAAATTATCTGGTATAGATAAATCTTTTAGAAACCATAAATGGTGTTGCAGGACCAGTTCACTAAACCTGCCATAAGACATTTGAGAGATAATTGAGATGTCAAGCGTCATCAATATCAATGTGAGAAATGAACTTGTAAAAATTCGTAAAAATCTAAATAAATGTATATAACAATAACGAAATAAAATATAAAGTACAGTATGACACACAAGCCCTTCCCAGATCTAGCCACGAATTCCCACTCAAAGGATAACGATCCTAGCCGGCGCCCATCAACAAAAGAATAGACAGGACGCGGCCCATCAAGCTGACAGGACAAAAAAAAAACTCCTCAAACTGACAAGGACAGGCTCGCTGACCATCAACGGGGAAGAATAGGCAGGACACGAAACATCAAGCCAAAACGGAGAGGCACCGACGAGATATTCATCACCGGACCCGAACACCTCGCCTTGCGGGCTACCGTTGGGGGAAGCCATCAAGTAAACAAAAGGAAAAATCCAGCCGAAATATCCATCGGCTCCAACCCGGATCCAGCCATCCCATCCGGATGGCCTGAACCACAAGAGCCACTCAGAATTTCTTTACATATGAGGAGACTCGGTCCGGACGTCCATTCGACTCTATTCTCCAATGCCAGGAAATCAATTCATACGACAATCAAAGACTGTCGATGAATGGTGCCTGCCTGGAATTCGGCCTCAAGGCTAAAAATCCCTATAAAAACCCCGGACAGTTTACCCTCCTTCGTGGATTTGGGAACACCTATACCTTTGGGTATAGACCCCTGTCCACCCAGCGCTGCGCTGTTTGTTTTATTGTGGTTTTCCCTAATTGTTTATTTTTTTATAAAAATTGTTTTATAATAAATTGGTTTTATTTAACCCAAATCTGCCTTTGCATTTATAACATCAACATACTTCAAGTAAGGACAAGAGGACAGGGGAAGAATGACAATGAATAATCCCATTATGTGATGCTAGCTAACTCACAGCTTAGAAACAGATCCATCAGACACAAATCTGAATGTCTTTGAATTTCATGAAAGTGTGGATGTATATGCAACCTTAATTCCCGAAAAAGCTTCATTCCATAGGAATGATGACAGAGTTGTAGTCATTTTTTCTATTTTAACTTTCAAGAGATAACCTTTTTTACCCACTCTAACTTAACACACAGGAGATAAAATAATTACTTTGGACAGCACACTGGAAACATCAGTCAATTATTTAAAAAATTTTAAAATTAAAACATTTCTTCCTCACCAGAGGAAGCAAAGCCCCAAAGGAAGTTTCCAATTTGCAGTGCTATGAATTTGTTCTGTGTGTCATTCTCAGTTCTTGGTTGTGTATCTCCTCCTAATCAATACAAATGCACGTACATTTCGCAATACTCTCTCATCCACGGTCTTGCAACACAGTTACTGTCCACTCCCTTTGAAAACTGACATTAACCACAATCTTCTTTCCTTCTTCTTTCTTTTCCCATTTCCCACCCCCCTCCACTCCTCCTTGTGATATCCACCCCTCACAAAGTAGCATCTTGCTCTCTCCATCTGCTTCTTCAACCACCTCCTCATTCCATCCTTCCCCTCTTGCTGGAAAACTCCACGGTTTCTCCAGTGTGGCTCCACAGTCTCCTCAAAGCATCACTAAAATTCTTTTCCTATTCTGTTCAAAAATAGTAACTACAGTCAGCTTTCTACTCCAGACCTTGGTGGAGGGGAGACTGCAAAACAAATATGCCCGAGTTAAATAAATTCTCCATCTTGAAAACTATAAAACCCTCTGTAAGGTTGTGTTTCACACTGCTCCTCTTCATTTCATCCCAAATGCCATAGAACTTATCTTTCCTTGATGGGATGTTCCGGCCATTTCATTCCACTTCATAAATCAATTAGCCATCTACATACCAAAGGATTTTCAGATTCCCTGTCTTTAGATACACCGCCCTGAGTAACTCCCTGATTTTGCCTGGCACCTGGTGCCATCCCCTGCCTATTCTGATTGGTTTGTTTTGATCTCATCCCACAAGCATTTCTGTGCCTTCTCCTACTCAAGCACTCTGATTGCAATTGGCTCTTGAAGCTCATTATCGCTCCATTTCCCTCTTGCTCACCCTCTCTGTTCTGCTCTGCAAAGACTGTCATCTCGTCTGCACACAAAACTAGAGAACCTTTCAATTCCTGAAAGAGAGAAAAAATATTTCATTTAAATACCATCAAGCATCCATTTCCAAGCCAGTGACTTTCTTTTTAAAAAAACTGGCTTTCTACTATGTATTTAATTTCCCTGCTTTGCTTCCTTTCACAATCCTTCACCTCCCAGTACTCACATTATACATTTCTTTATGCCTAATAATTTCTTGCTCATCCCCTTGGTTCATATTTTTTCTCTTGTGGTTTTCAGTGAGCATGGCAGGGTACTACCAGATCTTGTTATGCCTGAGAACAACCTACCTCATTCCAGATGATAAACAATGAACATGGCAATTAAAATTCAGGAAGACAAAATCAGAAAGCACTGACCTGTTTTTTCCCCTGCTCCCTCTTCCCCACTCTCATCAGTGACTGTCATTTCAAAAATTTCAACCAACTCTAATAAATAACACAAATTTGTCCCAGTTTCCTAAGAAAACAAAGCTTGTATGATCACATCCTGCCAAGCAGTTCCATCCTAGCCCCTTTTACACTCTGTAAGTATCAAACAAATAATGCAAAGGCAATGAGGACTCAGAGGTTATCTCTGCTGAAACAAAGAGAAACCCAAATTAGCATCTTCCTTAACGGTGGGAAGCAGCAGCCAGCTGGCCTGACCAGCACAGTAGTTTGGGGTACCCATCAATATGTACCTCCCTTAGCTTCCCTGCTTAAGCTGAAAGGATCACAGGTTTAGCCTTCAATTATTTCACCTAACACCAAACCATTGCTTATTTCACATTTTCCAGATCCCCTTCCAGAATCAGATTATTAAGAATGCAACTCTGATGCACTAATTTCTATAACACAAATGAAGCATTTTTCTTTTTGTTTACCCCCAACCAATAAAGGAAAAATCTGTTCTCTACCTTTTCTGAATTATACTGGGATTTGCAGTCACCAGTTGGGTTTTGGATCCAACATCCTTGCTGTATTCACTGGATAGAGGAGGAAGGTTGCACCTGCACACACAGACAGTCAAGATTTTAAATGACATTCAGGACTGATAAGCTTCAGAAAATGTAAAAATGCTGTATTACTGGACCAGGCTACAATTGTTCCCTACCGTCCCACATCTATAAGCATTTTTTGTACCAGATTGTGGAGAAATAGAGAAATAAAACCTTTTGCAGAGATGAGATCTGGGAGGCTGCTAAGCAAAACCAAGGACATACATTTGACATTTCTGACAAGCTGAAAGGCTGTGGAAAAGGCTGTTACTATCTATAGAAGAACTTTTTTTTAAAATCCAAACTCCTTAAAAGTTCTGGTTTTCACTCTGTTTTGTCTTGTTTACCATATCAGGCTCCAGAGTGATAATGTCACTCTGCACTATTACAGGCATTATAACTGGCATTTTTAATATCACACTGTAGGGTATCATTATTTTATAAAATTCACTGAGAAAACACAGAGAAAAAAATTGCATGGCTTTTTAAATATGTGTGTCTTATTTCTGCTCACAATCTTGTTCTGGTGGGCAGGGTGATAATGGAATAAAGCCAAAGCAATTGAGCAAATTTACTTTGGGAAGCAGAGAGTCAAGACTCAAAAAAAAACCAGAAGTCAAGGGAAACATCCACACAGTGAATAGTCCTAAAAGTTCCCTTGTAAAGACCAAGGAGGAGGAAGCTGCAGCAGATAAAGATGAAGATACATTCAAACAGTATCCAAGCCTAAGCACTGCCCCAAAAAGTAGTCAGGAGAAATCTACTCAACACATAAAATTTACACTAAAAACTGGTTTCCAAATATTTTTCATTTCAAATTTCTCCTTTAAAACAAAGACATGAACAGTATCTGGAATGCTTAAAAGGCAAAAATGAAACCCTGATTCTCAGAGACAAGCAGAATTTGGATTTTTTTTTTTCAGAGAAAGGCTTTTAGATGTTTATGTTGTTGGGGTTTGGGGCTCTCCGCAGTTTTTGTTAACTCACAAAAATACCTCAACCAACCAAACAACAACAAAACAACAAAAAAACCCCAACCAAAACCACAGTTGTGCTATATCAGCCTCTATCTACATATAAATACAAGCTCTCAAAACCTTAAATTCTTGTCATCAAGAAATGCCAAGGAAAAGGACAGCAATGTCCTACCTACATGAAACATAGATGAATTAAATCATACTCATCAAGAAATACAAAATTTCCAGGAACTTTTCGTCCTTTTCATGACTATATTTGTTAAGATGCGTACAATGTATTGAGATTTCAGTCAAGAAACAGCTTCTCACAATTCTGCAATAGAGTTCACTCTACCACAAATTAAGAGAAGGTAGACAATTTCAAAAGAAAACAGAAAAAAATAATCAAAATAAGAGGTTTCAGAAACTGCAATCATTGGGGGAAGGGGGAAAAGGAAGGGCAAGGGCAAGGAAGAGCTAGGCTAGAAGCATAGGGAAATTTTAATTCTTGGACATAACAAATGATAACATCTTAACAAGAAAGAGTTCCTTAAAATAAAGTAAAATAAAATAAAAGTCAAACAAATACTTGTGAAGTAAGATTTACAGCTGATTTGCCTTAGGGTAGAGACATTGCATAAATACCTCTGGCAGATCACAGTTTAATATAAAAGGCACACTTTAAAAAAAAATTTTTGGTTAATGTTAATTTAAAAGCATTATGAAGGACTAAGACCTCATCCTAGTTTTTATCATCTCAGCATCTAAATAATGACAATTCTTTCATAAGCCAGTCACAGATGCATTATTTAAACACATCTAATTCCTGTCATCACCTTACTGTGCAGGAAACACTAAGAAATGGCCTGAGTATCTACAGGAAACTGCAGGAAATCTGTTGCTTGGCTTTCCCAATTATTTTCTTGGATAGGTCAGTAGAGTGCTCAGTGTTCTGCAGGTGAGGAACACACTGAAGCACAAGACTCATACTAAAAAAACTTCATTTTTAATTCTCTTACTGGTAATCTCATACTGAGAACTAAGTACATGAAAAACAGGAGTTTAAAACATGACTTAGGACTAGTACCCAACACTTCTCTCTTAAAATAAACATTAGCACGTAGGGAAGGGGGAAATAATATTTTTTTTCTTAGAAATAAGAATTACAAACTTGAAAATCAGAAGAGCCCATTATAACCACAATACCTAAACATGCAGACCATATGCACCTTTCTCATTGCATATACAGCTTGCTGTGCCTCAGGGCTGAAAACTGCTGCTCTTCTCATCTCTGTGTTGGAACAACTGTGTTTGCAGAAGATGCTCAGCAGCCAAATGAATTTAAACTCATTAAATAACCTTAGCAATTACAACATATGACTGCAGCCATCTTCTCTCACATGACAAAGCTTATGGAAATATACATAAGTGAAATCAAAACTCATGTGAAGAGAATTAATAAACAAGGGTAAAACCTGGCAGGACATTTCACACTGCAGAAATACTTTGAAGATACTACACAAATTTATTTTCAAAAAAATGAAAAGTGTTATGGAAGTCACCATTGTGCTCTTTCTCTCTCAGCTCTCAGATTATATAAATGAGATTTAGAAAAGATCAACTAAATTTTCCATAAATATGATTTCATATCACTAATACAACAGAGCCTGCAGAGAGTGACAGGGATTTTTGCAGGATTCTCCCTATCACTTACTTCTAAATCAAAACGAGCTCTGTACATATAATGGTTGCTTTAGCCTCCCTGCAGAGAAATGAGTTTTTATGATCAAGCTAAAATAACTGCTGGTTTTTTGGTTTTTTTTTAATTCTGTTGTTTTTGTAACTGATTGCTCCTACAGCATTTTAATTTCTAGAAAATATAACCACTGCACATACACTGCAGTTTTGGAACACCTAAGGAGTTTTGCAGTAATGGCAATCAGAGCGCTGCTCTCTCCCCCTGTGCTTTACATCTTCTCTTCTGTAAATGCTCTAAGTATATACTTCCCTTTGCCTTTAATTTGTTCTATTTCTTTGTGTTAACAGGCATTTAATAATGAAGGCATTTTTGGTCTTTGAGGTGCAAACCAGAAATTACAGTAATGATTTAGAGCAAATTTGTATGGTTTTATAGTAAGCCATCAGTATCTAACGGTTAGATTTGTAGTGGGAGTTCATTATGTATCCATCAGAAACCAAAAGAAACTCCAATTCTTATCTGTTTTGGAGCATTCCTCCAGTTTCTCCTGCACAATCTTTCTCTTGTTCATGTTTATCAGGGAGGAACTAATTTCTGTCTTTCTTCCTTAAAGATTGCAGACCTAGAAAGTGCCAGATTTAATCACAAAAGCAGAAGCTGGTTCAACATCCCTCCTGACAGGTTCTTATAAATTAAGGAAGGCTGGAGGGAAAGGAAATGTGAAGAATCACAAAAACCTCACATCAAGGGAAGATGTTTGGCTTTTCCTCAGACAGTCAGCCACAGTTAACTTTTTAGGGAAGAAAAACAAAGAAAGATTTTAGCTTGTACCAACTCAAGTCTTGCCCCATAAATCAGCCCTACTCATTCTGAGTTCCACGGGTTGCATAGATAGTATTTAGTTTCAGAGGACAAATCATAGAGCAGGTGAAGCACCCTGGCTATCAGTGCATAAGTGATGAGAAAAGCAGCTCCTCAGTACCTCCCTGAGACACTGCACAAGTCCTCACAACTTTACTGACCAGCAGATTGTCCCCACAACCCGTATCCCTTTGCAGAACCAAGCCAGAGCTCCTTTTTTGCCTCTCCTCCTACTTTGACCCAAACTGCTTGTGTAAAGCATCCTGCAAAGGCAGGGCAACAAGGCAAATTATCATTGATTAATCCTAACTGAACAGCTTTGGAAAGTCTGAGGCTTAGCAGGTGGAAGGAGGGACAATGTGTCATTAAGTTTTTTGTCTTACCGCATGACAAAATCTGCTTCATCTATTTGTTTGCCACAGCCACTCTTTTTCAGGATCCCACCGTTTCCCACCACAGAACATTTCTTCAGAGGCAGCTGGAACGGAGTAGCCTAGCAACACAAAACAAGACCAGTTTTAACAGGGGAGAACACAAACATCTTTGTAGCAGCCACTCCTGGAGAACCCAAGGAGATGTTAGGGCTCAAAGTGACAGAAAGAAAAAGAGTTAGGAGTGAAGAAAAAAAAAAGTACAGAAATTAGCTGGTAAGTACATGTAGAACCAGTCTTATCCCCACTCCCCAAACCAGGATGCAACAAACGTGATACAGATGATTTTCTGCAAAACCAAAACTGCCTGAAGTCCTGACACAGACACTGACCAAAGTCAGGCAGTTCACAAGCCTTCCAGGCAAGCTGCAAGCACACACAGGAAACTAGACAACCAGGAAAACAGGAAAAAATCCATGAGAGTGATCTTCCTGAGCTGATACACAAAAGACATCTCTAGGGAAGAAAGGAAGGAACCGGGAATGTTGTGATGACAGAAGTGTACTGGCAATCTGGAGTCAGCCTGGCTCTCTCCATGTTTGTGTTGCTGAGAGAGGTCAAGCCAGAGCCGTAGGCAAAGATATTTGGAGCTTGACAGCAGCTCCTTAAATAGCCAGTTGCCCAGACACATTACAAACCAGTATTAGCATAAATTAAAATTAGAATGGGACCATTTTAGATGAGGAGCTCTTGTAGCTGCTTAACAGGGCATGAAAATGCAAAGTCAAATGGTCATGGGATCCCATGCATCAACACAGTAATACATTAGATCTGTACAGCCCTCATTCCAAAGGATCTCTAAACTATGGACAGGATACGTTCCTGTTAGCCCCAAGCCTTTTGTGAGCTTGGAGCAGTCATGTAAGCAGCACACAGCACTTCAGAGCAGCCCAGCATACGAAAAAAAAAAGTGATGAAGAGACATGTGAATTTAAAGCAGTGTGATTTAGTTACAGAAGTTATAGCTACTGATTATTGATTTTTCTACAATACAAGAGTTAATATTCTCCTCAAGCAAAAAAATTATGCAGGGATTTTTTATTTATCAAACCTGTCAAAGCCTGACTTTGGAGCAGAGACAGGAGTTACTGCACAGGCCTCAAAGAATACAGATGCCAGGGAGAGAGGATACAGCATCACAGAGCAATTCTCTCTGGGTGGCCTCACTTGCACGTACAGATCAACATCTGACACTGCATCATATATTCATCAGGCACTGCAGTACAGGACACAGCCCAGAAAACAGACCCAGTATTACAGCACAGACTGCATTTCTTAGAACTTATTCCTGCTGTCTTATTTCTCTTCTTCCTAGATTTACTGGCTTTGTCTACCTTTCTCTGCAAACTAGACTCTGTTCAGCTTGTATAAAATCACAACCTGCTTTTTAATGAGAAAACTAACCCCTGATTAAGATATGCTTAAGCAAGAAAGTAAATTTTAGTGTCCTGAGACCCAGCCATGGTTAGGAATGTAGTGATAGCACAGCAGAGCAACACTGAATATGCAGCTGCATTCTTGTCCTACATTTGCCTTCTTAAGAACACTTTTAAACTTACAGTTATTGAACCAGAAGCACATATAGAGATTCAATATAATCTCATCTCTGAGGTGACCCTGATCAAATGAGAACTCACATTCTCTGTAAAGGGGTGGGAAGCAGGGGAAATATAGATTAGATACGTTCTATAAATAACAGCACCTTTCTTAAAGATACATCAAAGCTCCTTTCAAGACAGCTGGTTTTACAAAACATTGTGCCAAGCCACCAAGATAGCAGACATTAACTCCTGCTTCTAAGAGTAGTGGGCCCTGTCACATAAATTCTGTGCCTTTAGACCCCCCCAAACAGACATTTAGCAGTTACAAAATGCTTCAAAATTCTGTGAGTTGCAAATAGCCTTTAATATTGCTTGAGATGGCTTGCTATCTTTCAAGGGAGGCTTATTTCCTGTTCTGCTCAGAGATGATAATATCAGTTCTTGCTATATGTACTTTCATTTCCAAAAGCTGATGAAGTATTGAAACTCTTATTCTTCTTCTATTATCCTGAATACAGGCTTGCTGCCTGGTGTGTACAGAAAATTCCCACACCAAGGTGAGGTAGATCTGGTTTTTATTTTAGTTTGTGCAAAGTAGGGAGCATGGTGGGAACCCACAATTTGTGGAAATATACACAATTTCTACATTTTAACAAACAACAGTATCAACACACATTGGTTCCAAATGAACACTCATTTTTCATTAATCAAACCCTTATTTGCTACCTATATCTGTTGCTTATCATTCTAATTCTTCTTCCCCCCATTTACTTCTTAGTCCTGTTGACTTCACTCCTGGTGGCTCCTGTCCATACAGCCTATTAATTTCAGAGTAGCACACCCTTTCCCTTAAAACAAAGGTTAAGCCAAGCCTATAAATTTTCACAAGCTTCACAATTAAATTACTTAATCACACCTGCCAAGCTATAGCTACTGATTAACAACAAAATAATTCCCAAGTTGGGATCACATTAAGGAAAAGACATCATTCCAGTGCCATTACCAGCGTGTAGGGGGTTGCAAAGTCCAAAAGATTAACTGTCTCTGTTGCCTGGTGGCATTTCAGGTGCTTTGAGCTTAATGAAGAGCAATTACTTAGGATGACCTGGGACAAACCTGCATTTATTATCTAGCACATGACTTTTTTTCAGACATTCAAATCACAGATCTGTGTTATTGCTGAGATTGCAGGGACATTCTAGGAACTCTTTGTCCAAACAAACACAAAACTGTCTGGCCACACAAAACTTATACAAGTCCTAGATTCAAGTGTTGCCTATAAGCAACTGTGAAAAATACGGCTTTTTTTCCTCTCTCTATAAAACCTTCTAATGCTTTCCTTCTTTACCTTCCACATCACAACACTTCCAGGCAAATTATCAGTTCATAATTGACAGTGTGTAAATTCTCACATTAAAGGGACCCAGCTGCCATTTATGCTAAATGGTCACTAAAAGCTCAGCTGTTTTTCTCCTTAGAATTCTAAGCTAGCCTAACAAATGCTGGCTTTAGGCATCATAGTTGTAACAAAAGCATTTCCACTAATATTAGCTTTCTGAAACTCTGTTATTTTCATTGTCAACACATGTTGTTTTCTTCATTCATAAAATTTTTATGAATGGCCAGTCTTGTGGGTGGACTGGATAAAACCTGCCTCCATTTATTTAGTCTGATAGAGGAAATGTACCAGAAAACCACCAACTTATCCTCATTATTAAGCAATAATTACCATAGAATTTACAAATACTTTTAAATAGTAGCAATTTGCGTATTGGAAATTAGCAGGATGAATTCCCTTGTAAACATAAGTCAAGTGATTTATTAAATGAATTGCATAAGGCATTTTTTTAAAAAGGTATCTCCCAACAAAACCAAAGACAGGAAGGTCCATTGTCTCATTTTTCCTTTTTTAAACAATGAAACTCTACTGACAATCAGGTCTAGTTAATATTCATGTAAACAAAAGAAGAATCTGCACATCCCCCTGCAAATTCAATGACAAAGAAGCACACAGAGCAATAGATAAAAGACTCCCAACTGAATATGGGACTAATTTAACAATGCATCATTCAAGCAATTCACTGATTAGTTTCATCACTCATCTAAGCAGAAGTAAATCACTCTCATCAGTTAAAAGAACATTACACATACTAACAAAAATAATTTTAGATAATGTTACTCAAAATCATTTTGATTTCATTGTTAGGTTGTTAATGCACTAATTTTTTGCCCACTCACTGCCAAAGACTTTAATCAGAAACCAAATTCTTACTGGAAAAACAGGAAAAATTACAGTATTCAGCCTCTGATTTAATGCTGACGATACAAAAATCATTGAAAACATAGCAAACATAAATTAGAATAATTTATCTTTTAAATAAGCATTTTGAATTTGAAAGAGATGCCGTGATTTTGCTGTTCCTTTTGAGAAGGCAGCATCCTGATGAGAAGGGTGAAGTTCTACTGAATTTCCTAAGGAGCCAACAAAACCCTGAGAGTTCATGGTGGTTTTTCACACTGCCAGATGCTGCAGGGTAGCACAAGCTCCTTCTTCATTGTTTACAAATCATGTTCGGTCTGATGCGCCCCTTTGTTCCGCCTACAGAGCTGTCAGGACGTGACAGCTTAACGATAAAAACTCATCAATGTCAGGGAAGGCGTATTCCCAATAGGGAAATATGTGTGGGGGCTGTGGATCTTTCAATTTTATTCACTCCTCTCCAGCCACTCACCAATTATATCCTAACCAGGTGCAGGAGCCCAGCAGAGCAAGAAGTGACCCAGTGACAGCAAGGAAACAGACACAGAATTAGAGGATGGTTTGGGTTGGGAGATCATCTTGTTCAACACCTCTGGGCAGGGACACCTTCCACTAGACCAGGTTGTTCACGGCCCCATCCAAACCTACCTGGCCTTGAACATTTCCAGGGATGGGGCACCCACAACTTCTCTGGGCAACCTGTTCCACTGCCTCACCACCCTCACAGAAATAAATCTCTGATTCCACATATCTAGTCTAAACCTGCTCTCTCTCACTGGGACAGGTGGGAATCTGAATAAAATGTGATTATTACAAGAAGAAACAGTGGCAGTGACTGTGAAATTAAATAAGGAAGAGATCCTACACTGGATCTCCAGCTACCTTCTTCAGTTTATTTTGGCACTGCCAGCTAGTACATGTTGAAACCTGAAGCTCACTGAACAAAAGAGAAGTTGTCTAGGTGAGACAAGCTCCTCTGTAGGTCCACATGTCTCAGTCATGACAGGGTTTATTCAGCCCTGAAGCGGAATTCAGCATTTGAGCTTATGCAAACTTTGTGCTCTTCAAATTATGTACTTTAGGCAGTATTGTTGTTCATGAGGTTAGAACCTCAGGAACTACTTACACAGGGACACAGGGCTACAAAAGACCACTTGGAAGACTGAATACATTGCTGTGCTGCTGTAGGAAAAGCTCTGCTATCCAAAAAGATCCATGATCTGTAGAGCAGCCACACACTAAAAAGAGAACACTTTGCAGC